CATGAGTAAGACACCTGCCCGTATTCACTACTTCCTCTGTCATTATTACTAAGGCGGTAGTTTGCCATAATTACATGGCCCTTACCAGTGTTGAGGAGAGTGACGCCGCATGGTTTGGTATTTTGCCCTTTATCTGAATTTTTACATCCAACGCCGGCAAGGTACCTGCTGGGCCCATCATTATTGCCATTAGCTGCAACCTTTACATCAGTCACTGTAGTGTCAGGGTTATTAACATTATCTTTAAATTGTCACCTTTATTATAAGAATCACATACAACCCTGCACATAACTGTATGGTGCTTTCCCTTGTTGCATTGATAGCAACTGTTCAATTTGGAAATGACAATCCTTTACATTATGATTGGTCTAGACATCTGATAAATCTGTCAAGTTCTTTCTTCTTTCCACTTTAATTTCCATGAATTACACCCTTACAATTTTTTGTGAAATGAGTTACCCTGGCAGAAGAGCAGTCTCTCTTTCCTTGCCTGACCTCTTATTAACTGGGTTACCTTACTGAGGTACTTTTTCCCTTCTTACCTTGATGTGAGGGAACCACTATTACTGATTCCTGCACTTGATATGTGCCTATTTAACTCTTAACTATGATTATTACCACTGGGATTATTTTTCCCTTTTGGACTTGACAGATACTTCAGAGTCATTATGTGTTTTTATCCTTAGAACTGTTTGGCTGACGGGTTTCTGAAATTGAAAAATTTAAATTCCTGCCGACCTAGTTGATTTCCTCCAGACGTACTATGGAGGTTTTGGCAAACCCACCCTTGCATTAATAGGTTGATCAACTGCCTGGCTTACACCCTTTTAAATTTTATTCAAAGCCTTACTTTTACAAGACAGTTTTTCTTCCAATTCGTAATGTTGATTAATTAAAAATTCATTTCCATTCCATCTGCACAATTCTCTAGCAGATCTCTTTCACAGTTTTTTAAACCACAATTTGTCCAATCAAATCTACTCTCTAAAGCATCTAAAATAAAATTTAATTCTTAGGGTTCACGGTTCTTTGATTCACTAAATCAAATGCCTTCGTCAACATGGCTTTTAATAGCCCGTAATGAGCTTTTTATTACTCTAAAATTCACGGACTTGTCAGCCACATTAAAATCCATTAGATCCAGTCATGGTTAGGGAATTATTAATCACTGATTATACAACTTAAGTAGGGGGGCCTTATAAGAGTATTCTTGCACTTTACTCTTGTATAAATCCTAGCCACACATGTGCAGCAAATTAAAATTTGGGTAATTGTCATCCTCCCACGATCGATTAAACTTGTTTCACCCTACACCCACTTCCTTCAATCAGTCACTTAATTATTAAGTAATTAATTCAATTAATTTTTCACTGATTGCAATCCGGTTTTCGAAGGACCAGGGCCCGATATGGAAAATTTTCTGGGTGCTTACCTGTATGTACCTCAACATTATATACAAACCAGTATCTATTGGGAGACAATTATATTTGTTTTCCGTAGTCACCCCGTGTAGGGACATGTGAGGAAAACTTATACCACCCCTGGTCGCGGGCAAGTGGTCCCCTCGACCTCCAACATTCTTCTCCATATCTAATACGAGCCCAGTAGGATTGGATAAGCACCCACAAGTTCACGGTGCTACTATTTTTATTGTGGACTGTATAGATTATATTAGTTTAGGACTGAATGAAGGGGGGGGGGGGGGGGGTGGATACACCTGGATACATCCATCCAAGGAAAAACATTTGTACATAATCCCACACACTTACCAGATGTTATCTGGTGGTCACTTGATGTAGATGGATCAACTCATTAACACTATCTTAATACAAAATAACAACCAACTGGCCAGCATCACGTTTGTTATAACTAGATGGTTACTTACCAAACTGTGGGGGGTGATTGAGACTCCTTATTTCCTTCCATTCACAGTTCATTTTCGAATTGTCCTGCTACACCGACACTGGTTTCGTCATTCCTGAAGGAACGCAGGTTCCGTTGGTTTGTCTCGCTTTAAAGGTCGTGGACTCAGAGAGCTTCACTTTCCTTTGTCTCGGGTCAACAAAGAGGGCTCCTAACGTGTTAATCGGAACAAATCGACTTATTTCACTTCACGATTCTCTTAACTTACGTTATTATTTTCATTAATTACATTACAAGTCACAAGACGATGTTTAATGGCTCATAAAGTGATTATAACATTAGAGATACACTCCCTTTTAAGACTGAGACGATGAGTGTTGATTAAACCAAGGGTCAATTTTCCCCGGGACACAGTACAGGACGACGCGTCAGTCAACACACGGTCCTACCCTTATTTTACTCCTTTTTCCACTTTATTTCCGTGGTACCGTGTAAATCACGTTCCCTCATCTCTCCACAGGAACAGTTACGACACTTCCTATTATGATATGTGCGTAAATTAATCTTTAGGCGCCGTGAATGCAATTTCGTGGTTCCATGCTTTCAGACTCCTCACCACATTCTAAAACAAATCCAGCCGCCTCCCCCTGCACCATCCCCGCGAAATGCGCACTCAAAGGGAACTCTGGTTCTTATTATTCTTCAAATACATTTTTGACCCATAAGACACAAGTAATAAACATATTAGGCACATAGTTTCAGGCAAAATAAAAAATTTTCCACATAATAATAATAATTATGACGCCGTGGGCTAGCAGGGCCGGATTAAGAAGTCTCCGGGCCCTTGGGGCTTTCAGGATTGGCGGGGGCCCCCCTTTGAGTTACGGCGGTGGGTAGCGGAAAGCGACCCTTCCTGCTTGGGCGGTGGGTGGGGGGGGTCGGTTTGTTCTGGGAGCCCGTTTTAAGGTCTATTATATTATTCTGGCTATTTTTGATTAAATTTATAGGGAAAGTTCATTAAAGACAAACACAAAACCATTTTCTACAGCCATTTTATACTATCTTGGTTTTTAAATCTTGCATTTTAAAAGAGAATATAAACTCAAGACAGCATAGTATTACTAGATTTGGCTATTAAAGTAGTGACACATCATGTAATATAATTTCAGCATAAACACTTACGCACTATTTTCCTTTATAAATCATGGACCATTTTTGCTATCATTGCATCATACATTAACTATCAAATTATATAAACTCAAAGATAAGTAAAGAATTGTTTATATTCACAGGCACTCTTAAATAAACTTTTTTTGGATTTTCATATTGGCAAAATCATAATTATATTCTGAAAATCAATATTTCTTGTTAGATCAGACTCAATGGGCAACACAGGCTAGGGTACCACATTTGTCTTGGCTCATTGTTTGAACGGAGCTGGTTTTTCAACTCTTTTCAAAAACAGAATAATGAACGGTCTTTCCTTCACACGTTAGCAGCTGGAGTGTTAGGTTATAAGCACGATACACTATGTCAACTTTGGGAAGGTTCTGAGATACTTGCAGTCTTATAATGTGCAAAGCAGCTGAGGGCAGAACATTTTTCGGGTTGGAGCTTTAATTGTTTCATATACCCAGAAAAAAATGAACTATTTTTCATAAAAAAATGAGTCACTGAAAACATCTGCTGAAAGGTGTTGTTGCAACTTTTAATGAAGCTGCTCTCATTTCTGCTCTGGCCATAGTAGTATTTTGAACAGAAATCCAAAATTGTCATTGGAGATTCTGGTAGATTTCTTTTCTTTTTCACCAATTCTGTAATCAGTGAATACAGAATGACGAAGTTATGTAGCTTCTGTCTTACATTTCTGCCTTGGTAAGCCAAAACAATTTCATTGTTGGGCTCTTCAAAAAATTGCGTTTCCTCTTCCGTGACCGCTGCATGATCAGCCGGTAACTGTAGTCTTTTCACAGCAGTTTTGCTTTCTCTTCAAACTTTCAAAAGCTATCATTGCGAAGTGAGCTTACAAATTCCACTAAGCCTGCATAGAGGTTAGCACAAGTAGCCATTTCAATTTCCAATTTTTGAAGTGTCTTGTTCGTGGCATTTAAACCGTTCCCAGTATACAGTCCCAAAGCACATCAGAGTAAGGCCTCAATTTCAAAATCTTCCAATTTTGATGTTAAGCTGGCTGCTTCGATTCTTTGTAGTTGCTGTTGCTGGTCTTCATCATCTGCTATTGGATCAAAGCAGAACGTATTTCAGCCAAAGCTGTCTTTCAATACCATGTTGCATCATGCCTGCGCTGACCACCCTTGTTGTTGTTAATGATTGATGACATTCTCCTTGATTGGTTGACTTGAGTTTACTCCACCGATGCGTTTGAAGCAAGAGAAAAAAAGTTAAAGAGTGCTTTGTAAAAAGTCCAAAAATTGAAACTGCAGCGTCACAACCACTCCGCAGACCTGACACAAACAAGATTAATGAGAATGTGCTGAGCAGGGCAACATATCAGCAAGTGGGTTGATTTGACTTTGATATGGGCCTTGCAATCCTTTTTATTTACCCGACATGTTACTTGCTTGTCGTAGCTCTGGCCACGGCAATCCATAATAGAGCAGATCAGTTAAGCAGAGTATACATTACTACATTCATCATTGTTTCTCCATCTGGCCTGACTGAAAGAGGAATGGGATTTTTATAAAGGCGTACTACAGGCTTACCAACTGGAGTGACAAAGCGAACAATGAATGTCATTTGAATCTGTATGTGAAAATTTCTGGTGGTGTTAGATTCTACACTTATTGCAAAGTATTTTGCAGTTTTCACAGGCTGGCTATGATGTTATTGAGGACCTTCTTAGTCATCTGTTCAATAAATTCATTGCATTATAGTAGATGACATGTAAGATACAGTGGCCTATTCCTGCATTTCCCAAGGGTTGACACATGATTTTGCTTAGAATGATCGAATTGTGCTAACCGTTCGATGATCCCTAGGGAAATTGCCTTTGTTTTTCGAACCAAAAACTCATTTTCTCCACGAAAGCAAGTCCTCTTAGAGCTAAGGATTTTTTTACAACAGCAACAACTCTTTCTACGAACTTTTCTCCAATTAGTGCGCTCTTTTTCAGTTTGATTTTCCTAATGAGAATCCATATAAGCTCTTTTTTTCGGTGCACGAAATTCTCTGGACTTAAATTGCAGCTCCTGTGAGTGGGTGCTGTTTTCATGTTCCTCGAAATACGCTTGGGGAATTTTTCCCAGTCATGAACCACTGTGTGAAGGTATTTTTCTTTGGTAGAAAATAGCTTCGCATGCTGACAGTACACCTTTCCTGAGCTTTCAGAGTTATACCATCCATGATCTTTTCACAGTTTCTGAATTAGAAAGCTTCTATAAAACATAGTATGACTTTAAACAATCGACGAACTGCCATCATCATAAATCCTTGCTGATTTCCTAGAAGTCAATGTTCAGAGTTTGAAGTTTTCTGCAAATGAAAAGCATTAAGTTAGAGAATCTGGGATTTCATTTGGCTCCATGTGGCAGGATCTTTTAAGGCAAAATCCTGTGGCTATGAAAACCAGTCCGTTGAGACATTTGAGAGGAGACACAATAGAAGTGATGCTGGCTGAGAAATAATGGAGGGACGGGCTTCCTGTATGATCTGACGTTTCTGCAGATTCAACCTGTTACTGGTGACTTCAGTAAAACTTTTCGTGAGATGTCTGTGATCTTTCTGCAGTTCTACATCTCTCTTTTTCTGTTCTTGAATTTTCTTCTTTCTTTATGTGAACCACATCGCCATAAGAATCTGTCCAACATCACGGTTCACGTAGATGCCCATAATGAGGATGTATCACTGTCTGTTAATAATTACAAATACAAATTTTTCTTTATCATTTTATTATTAATTTTATAATTATTTTATTAAAAAAATTTTTCTGTCAATTGAGGGGGGATATGGCACTTGTGCCCCCTTTCTCTGGCTGCGCATCTAAAAATTCAAACGTCTACAGAAAGGAGTCATATACAGAAAGAACTTTTACCATAGATTAGGTTAGTGATTTGGAGCTACGAATATTTTACTAATCATCCTCCTTGATCTCCAATTACTTAAACGAAATCATAATGAGTCCAAAGAACAATGCCACAATGGCTAATTTATATTACCATTTTCATAACTAACACTAATCATTATGTTTTGCATGATATATGGCCTACCAACCATAGATAAGGACATGAGAATTTAAAGGAAATTCAGGACAATTTTCAGTTTCACCCAAACCAACGATTTTTCTGATGTGGCCTTATGTGTTTCTGGGGAAATATGTAGGTAAATTATTTGATGTTCTACATCACTTCCGTCGCAACTTGAAAACTAAGCATTTGCGACGGAAGTGATGTAGTAACATCAGTCAATTGAGATATGGTTATTGAAATGATAAAAACTTAAAGACAGGGACAAAGGGCTTTTAAACCTACAAAACGGAATCAGTTTGCGTTTTAAGGTTTTTTTTTAAAGGTTTTTTCTTTCTGATATTTTTACCAAAAATGCGTTTTTACTGGTCCCATGGCCGTCTCTTTACTGGTAAGTAAACCCTAATCTGTACCTCCCTTAACGTTTAGGAGGCGAAAAACAAACATTTATTCATTACACATCAATGTATATCAACAACACTTCAGTTAATTTGTCACAGTACAAGTCTAGAGAAGTGTAATTACTACAGGAAAATTGGAGGAGGAAATCTCCAATATCACCCATTAGCGGCGAAAGCACAGTTGTTCTGATGTAAACAAAGGCGTGATGAGGTGTTGCCATCTATGGTTAGGTTTATTTATTTTTTTTTTTTTTATTTCATTAATTTATTTTTTTTTTTTTTGTTTTTTTGGGGAAATTTTTAATTTTTAAATTTTTAAAAATAAATTTTACTCTCCTAACTCTTGAACTTTTTAGGTAGGGACCACTTTGCACTTGCTCATGTCGCGCAGTCTTGGAGGAGCCCGATCCCTGCCTTGGACCGCGGGGCCCCCAAAATGCGCGGGTGGCTAGGCAAATGCCTAGCTTGCCTACACGGTAATCCGGCCCTGCGTGGCAGGGACGGCCTCCTAAGCCAATTGGACAGATTGCTACAGTTGGGCTCCGAGCATAATGGGAGCCCCTGCGGCCTCAAGGGGCCCCGCGCCTAAGGGGGCCCCGTGCCCTATAGGGGGCCCGCGCCTAAGGGGGCCCCACACACTAATGGTGGCCCGCACCTAAGGGAGGCGCCCCGCTAAGGGGGCCCGGCGGCTAGAGTGTAAATCTACTCTCGTCTTATCACGTACACCACAACAACAAGAAGCAAAATCAAAAGAAGGCATCTGGAAAAAAGTTTTTCAAGCTGAAACTGATCAATAATCTTACTGGGATCATCAGTTCAGCCAAGTACGTGTGAACATAGTTTCGTGGTGATTATGTCCATTGAATCTGAAATTAGCAGTTTAACTTCGACAAATTTTGTTTATTCTGTAGGCTTACATATATGCAATTTTCTATTAAAAGTAGCTTCATCTGTTTGGTTCTATTAACCGCATGCATTTTTAAGCGCCTCAGTTTCATTGCTTTCCCTACATGGAGGGTCAACCAAAATTGTTCCCGATTGGGCCCCGCGCCTCCTAAGGGCCGGATACTGTCCGTGGCTAGGTTGTACCGCATCTCAGTTCGTTTCCGGCACGGATGGAAATGTTGGAAAAATTTCCTTACACCTGCTGGTCCCCTGGTTCACCTAGCATTAAAGTAGGTACGGGGTGTTTGTCGACTGTTGTGGGTTGGCATCCGGGGGGTGGTTTTGTATACCTTAGATAGGGGTGGGCTTTGAAATAAGCTGAAGTAGGAATAACACAACTCTAGCTGTAAATGAATTGAGGCAGGATTACATGTAAAAATTGATCTTCGTAAAAATATGTAATAAAAAGTGTCGTAAACAGTATTTGCAAGAAAATTATGTAGACATCATTGACCTCGTGGATTATATTTTTTTTTAACATTAGAAACTGTCTTGTATAAGATTATTAGATACCTTATATCCGCATTTACATGGTTCTAGCAGGCGTGGTGGTTTTCCTAGGCTTGACCTGGGGAGGGCAGGAGGGGGATGGAGATGATCACCACCTCCCTTACTATACTAAATCAGTGTTTGTAATGGCCAGAACATCACTTGTCGTTGCTGTGGACAGTGCCGCCGTACAGTCAGCAGGCAGACTTGTTTCTGGGTACACACTCATGAAGGATTTGCTGTACCGTGGTGATTCTCCTGCATTCCTCAGATCGTTGAAGGGAGTGCCCTCTACACTCGTTCCAGAGCTCGCCCAGCACAGGGATGACGACAAAGGGCATCAAGGTGAGTACCATTATTATTATTATTATAGAATCAAGGGTGGAAGAGTAAATCCGGAGGATTTTACAGCGCCTGGGGGGGGATTTGGAGGTATTCTGGCTTTATTTCGGGGAAACTGGTGCACAGATCCAGAATTCCCTAAATCTTGAGCCCCTCACCAACATCAAGGAACCTTCTTGAGGGGGGTTTGTGTAAAGCTTGTTAGTTTGTTTAATATATTTATGATGTACCCCACAAACCATTCCTATGGCTGTAGTCAAAGGATAAGAGTAGGCAAATTAATGCGGTCCAGGGTAGCTGGCCGTTGTTTGTCGCGTCTGGCATCAATATATTGCATCGGTTGTGCAGCTGGAGTGGAAAGAATAACATGTGAATAATGTATATAACTTGGTGTTACAGATGGGTGTCAGTCTACTGAGTTCACTTCCTGGCTGGACTCCTTCTGGTAGAGGACTCAGCAGTATACGTGAAGAGTTGGTTCAAGGTGATTTTCTGTACGCTCAGTGAGTTGCCCACATTATTTACTATTATTTAAAGGCGTTAAAAATTCTGAAAAGCCCATGGGATACCACATCAATTCCGGAACAGACTTATATTGAATAAAGAGAGGAACCACCTAGGAAATCTATCGGATCCGCGGGTTCTATCCCGGCGGGGGTATGTTTAGTATTTATATATATATTTATAAATATAATATATATATATATATATTCTATATTATATATATATATATATATCTATATATTATATATATATATATATTATGTACTCACCTAGTTGTGGTTTCAGGGGTCGAGTCAAAGTCCTGACCCCGCCTCTTCACTGGTCGTATAGGTCACTCTCCCTGGAACCGTGAGCTTTTATCATACTCTGCTTTAAAGCTATGTATGGACCCTGCGTGTGTGTGTGTGTGTGTATGTGTACTAACCTAGTTGTGGTTCGCAGGGGTCGATTCACAGTCCTGGCCCAGCCCCTCTTCACTGGTATGCTACTAGGTCACTTCTTCCTGCTCCATTGGCTTTTATCGTACTCTTCTTAAAGCTTATGTATCGATTCTGGCTCCCACTACATCACTTCCCGGACTAATTCCACTTCCTGACACAACTCTGTGACTGAGGAAATGTTCCTACATCCCTGTGGATTATATGAGTCTTCGACTTCCAATTGTGGACCCCTTGTTGCTGTGTCCCATCTCTGGATCATTCTGGTCTATGTTCCACCCTTGTCAATGCTTTTCAGTACATTTTATAGTCGTTATCATATCTCCACCTATCTCCTGTCTAAAGTGTCGTCAGGTCAGATTTTCCTTAAACCTCTTCTCGTAGGAACATACCCTTAGCTCCGGGCTAAGTTGTTTGCAAACTACTGCAGCTTTCTTCCCAATTTCCTTACTAAGACCTTCGGCTAGGTGTGGGTTCCAAACTGGTGACTTGCATACTCCAATATAGGCCTGACAATACTCGATTGTACAGGGTCCTGAACGAATTTCTTATTGAGAAGTCGGAACTGTATTCTAAGGTTGCTAGGCGCCCATTATACTGCTAGAAGTTATTTGTTGATGTGCGACTCAGATGTGCACGGTGTTATAGTGAACACCAAGATCATTTTCCTTGAGCGAGGTTTGCCACAGTCTCTGGCCCCTAGACTGTGACTTGTTCTTCGGTCTCTTTGCCTCTTCCCCAGTCTTCATGACCTTTGCTCTTGGTGGGTTTGAAATCAGGAGGCCTAGTTGCTGGTCACAAGCCTGCAGACTGTCAGAATCCCTTTGTAGTTCCACCTGGTCCTCCTGCGATTGAAATCTTCTCATCAAACTTCAACGTCATCTGAAAACAGGGGACACTTTGGAGTTCTATTCCGTCATTATCGTACACATATACCAGAAAACAGTTACAGGCCATAGGAATGATCCCTATGGAACCCGCTCGTCCACAGGCGAACCCACACTGAGTGTGTGTGTGAGGGGGGGGGGGGGTTTCGTGTGTGTGTGTGTTTTATCGTATGCCACTTTATGGATTTAGAGGCTTTCCGGTTAATACAATGATCACTGTGGATGACGGACAGGGAGGTAGATGCTGAGATGATCTTTCACAGGAGGCTTGCCTCTATGAAACATGACGGACGCTGGCTATGTGTGGCTGGTGGACAGAGCAGGCTCTGAGGCGACTCACATCCCCGTGGCACTCTGGACATTCAAGCTCAGCTAGCTGACGACTACGGATAGACCACACACCGACAGTCTGTAAGTTGGATGTAATCTGACAGAGTTGTGTCCGGGGGGGGGGGGGGCGGTGGGGGCGGGGGAGGGCGGGGGAGGGGGCGGGGGGAGAGGGCGGGGGGGGGGGGCGGGGCACAGACGTGTAACTGATGACACTGTTGAAATTGCTCGTGTTAGTAAGACTTTTTCGCAGTTGTGTTAGTGAATAGTTGACTTATGTGTTTTACTCACATATCCCTTTTTTTCCACAGGAAGAGATGTGTGTAAGCATTAAATTTAGCGTTATTATTGGATTTCTTCCAATTTGTATCGTATGTATGTTAAATTACCTAGGGATAGTCCAGTAAAGTCAAAATATATCCTTAGTATATTATTGTTGTGTACATACTCTCAGACGCGTGATGGCGTTGGCTCTGGTCAGTTGCACAGAGCAGGAGGAGGAGATCCCTGGCCCACAGTCAACTGTATGCTGAGGGCAGCTGGACGCCACGGTACTAAAACTTTTCAGGTCAGTGTTGCTCACCTATATGTGCTTGCAGGGATTGAGTCTTAGTCTGGCCTGCCCTCTCAAACTTGGCCAGATTCACTCCAAGCCTCGTGAGCTACGGAGTGAATCTGGTATCTATTTCTGGTGAATCGCGTATCTATTCTTAAAACTAAACCACACCCCACCTCCTACCATCCTCACCCACCACCCCCCCACCGAACCAACCCCCCACCCCCACATAGTGTCACTTATTCGCTGAGGTGATTCCACTTACTGACCACCCGAAGGCTTAAAGAATTAATTCAACATATGACCCAGCTGGACCTCCCCCTCCCATGAGTACGTTTCCGCCGCTAGCAGTCCTGTTCTGCTACTATCAATTCCTGTGTGTATTTTGTATGTTGTTACATGTGGCCCTGGTCCTGTCCTCCAGGTTCGTTAGATTCAATTTCCTTTAACCTCTCACAGCTCTTGCCCTTAGTCAAGAACAAAACCTTGTTTGCGTACTTCTACCTTTCTCTACTTTCTTAACATGCTCTCTCTTTGTTGTTGTCTTCATATTTTTTGTTTCAGGGGTCTTCTATGGTTAGGTGGTGGACCTCTGTATCACCGCGGATGCTACTCTGGGTCCGCCAGTTATTTAAATGGAACCCACTTCTTGGAGGCGATACATAAGGACATGTCGCCATTTTACTGTGACTTATATTAATATAAAAAATAATTTGTCACTTTCTGCATCTTCATTCCTTACACATTTCGCCTTATATTGCATAGAGTGATGTGGGCGCTTCCCTTGAAAAACTTAAACCCTAATTTTTAAAGGGGTGGACTGGTTAAAGTCAGCGGAAGGCTCGTTTTTTTGGGTCAATCTGACCAAAAGCTCCAACGGCGGGTCATCATCTGACTATGAACCCACATCTGGAAACAATTGTCATTTTCCTGACGAAATCTTACCTAGGTTAACCGTTGGCTTCGCTTCCTTTATTCCTTCAGACTGATCCAGGAGCAGGTGTTGACTGACGGGGCAGACAGGGAAGGTGGCCTTCGACCGTCAAGGGGACAGGAACAATGTGCCTGAGTATCTCCTTCATTAATGTTCAGGAAGGACCACCATGGACCACCCTTCGGAAGCCTGACAACACGTAGGAGGATATTTTCGATATGGTGAGAGACATTTGCTATGTAGAAGTTGGGTACTTTGCGCAAGCGCAAGATAAAACATGAGACTAGAATAACATTCAGATGATTGGTTAATGTGATTTTAAGTTTATCGACCTGCACTAGTCATTAAGGACTAAGATAAACATAACTCAAGTTAAACTACATTATGATTTTATAGTAATTTGATAGTGGTTTTGATAATCATGTGTTGTAATGAAAATCATTTGGAGGATGATGCAAACATTTAAAGATAACTCGGCAAGGAAAGAGGAAAAGAATTGTGGGGGAAAAAACACTTGGAAAAACAGTTGTGAAAGAAGCAAATTGGAGAATTAAATGTAGTAATGGGGGGAATATTTTAATACTTAGGAATAGGAGAATCGTACAAGAAATAATTCAATAAGCTAGCCTCAGTGAGAGGCAAGTGTGACAATGAACTCTTGGTAATCTCAGGAGTCACAGAATTGAATTACTTTCTCTGATAAATCTAGCAATTAATTATGTATATTTTAAGATAGCATACCCGGGTTATGCTCAAATCTGGTAGCTCAGTGTATGCTTTTTCTTTCCGGTACTTGCAAGAATATTTTTTTTTTTTCTGACTGGGAAATATAGTTTATGCTTTTTCGTAAAGATTTTATAAGTAGTATTTATCAATTCTTATTGTCTAATGTGCTTCTACTCCTTTTATCCTCTTTAATGAGTATGGGTTTGATATCCTTGTTTGACAGTTTGTACTGGTTAATTGTTCTGTTGTACTGGTGGTTGTTTCTGTTGTACTGGTAGTTGTTTTGTTGTATGGAAGTTGTTTCTGTTGTATGGTTAGTTAGTTGTTTTTGTTGTACTGGTAGTTGGTTTCTGTTGTACTGGTTGTTTGATCTTGTTATCCCTTGTACTGGTAGTTGTTTCTGTTGTTCTCGGTAGTTGTTTCTGTTTACGGAAGTTGTTCTGTTGTACTGGTAGTTGTTTCTGTTGTCTGATAGTTGTTGCTGTTGTAATGTAGTTGTTTTCTGTTGTACTGGATAGTTGTTTCTGTTGTACTGTAGTTGTTTCTGTTGTACTGGTAGTTGTTTTCTGTGGTACTGGTAGTTGTTTCTGTTGTACTGGTAATTGTGCTGTTATAATGGGTAGTTGTTTCTGTCTGTACTGTAGTTGTTTCTGTAAGTATCCCATAAATAATTAAACAGAATTACCTTTTAGTGGTAGTTGGGTTTCTGTTGTACTGGTAGTTGTTTCTGTTGTACTGGTAGTCTGTTTCTGTTGTACTGTATTTGTTTCTGTTGTAGGTAATTTGGTTCTGTTGTACTGGTTAGTTGCTTTCTGTTTGTTCTGGTAATTGTTTGTTGTACTGGTTAGTTGTTTCTGTTGTACTGGTAGTTGTTTTCTGTTGTAATGGAAGTTGTTTCTTTTTACTGGTAGTTGTTTCTGTTGTAATGGTAGTTGTTTCTGTTGTACTGGTTGTTTGTTTCTGTTTGTACTGGTTAGTTGTTTCTGTTGTACTGGCAGGTTGGTTTCTGTTGTAATGGTAAGTTGTTTCTGTTGTAGACTGGTAGTTTGTTTCTGTCTGTACTGGTAGTGTTGTCAGATGTTATAACTGTAGTTTTTGTTGCAGGAGAGTGATGAGATGAAGTTAGATATTA